TCTCCCCCACTCCACCCCAAACCCCTCATAGCTCCCCCTTCTGATAGTCCGGCAAATCTGATAATCCGGCACCCCCTGGGTCCTAAATGTGCCGAATTATCGGAAGTTTACTGTATTGTCTTTTCTCACATCTAACAAGATTTCAAGTAGCGCTAGCAGAACAATTCTGCCACATTTGAATCATTTCAGAAAGGTTGTCAGATTATTAAATAGAACCAGTTAAATAGTGGAGTGCCCATCCTTTTTGAGTTGACAGCTGCCATTAGGCTGTTCAGTATACTCCTTTGAGGAAGGAATAGAAGCCCCATCACTGCAGGACTTTTAAAACTAGACTGAGCTTAACTAACAACTGTATGGTGGGGAACAATCCTGTCTTTGACAGGGAGATGGGCTGGTTAATTAGATCCGCCTTTAGCAATAAGTTGTGTGATTTGATGAATAATCTAAATTGGTATTTTTTCAAACTGAGGTCTGCTGGCCCCACTAACCAACTTTTTCTCCCGTCCCTCACAGTGTTTCTTGCACACTAAAAGTCCAGTGGCACAGCCGGGCCAAGGCAGGCTCCCTACATGTCCTGGCTCTGCTTCACTCCTGGAAGCAGCCAGTGCATGTCAGTGGCTCAGATGGGTACACATGTTCTAGGGCAGTAGGTTTTCTTTTGTACGTAGCCTACAGGTGAACTTGATTTGTTGCCGGTAAAAATAAATCATTACCTAGTGTACTGAAACCATTCAGTAGCAATTTAAAGTTCAATGTCAAAGTATAGCTGCCCACCAGTAAATTTAGTGCTGATTCTAGCTGTCTTCAGTTGTAACCTTTTTTTTTCTTTCTTCTTCTTCTTATCTGTCTCAGAAATTCCTGACACAAGCAGCTGGAATCTTAACCAGGATGCCTCTTATGTCTATTATTGTGCTAATGAGACCGTTCATGGTGTGGAGTTTGACTTTGTACCTGATGTCAGAGGAGCAGTCTTAGTTTGTGATATGTCATCAAATTTCTTGTCCAAGCCAGTAGATGTTTCCAAGGTACAGTATCCAACACACTCACTCTACAAAGTGGATTAGACAAACTTGGATTAGATAAATCAGTGGCTGGACTGTGTTGGGCATTCTCCAGTCCCACTGAAGCTGTAGAAGTACAGGCCTCCCTTTTTTTTTTTTTTTTAAGGTGCCATGAAGGAATTAGAAGCAAAATGTTCAGACGCGAGAGCCTAATTGGCTATCTTGTTCCCTGAGAATTGGACACATCAGATTATATTTTAGTGCTGAGTGCTTAGCACTGTACACCATACTAAAAGAGATGCAGCCATGGCCTCAAATACCTTAACCTAACAATCATCTGAGACCTTGTCTGCAATGATTCCTTCTCTACACTCCGAGATTAAGGTGTTTTTTTTTTCTAGCACCAGATTTTGTAATGTTGAAGGTGCATCTTTCCACTGTGCACAAGAATTCTATGTCATTCATCCCCAGTTGGGTGGCTACCTTCCACTTTGAGAACAATGCACTGTGGGTTGTTATCCCACAGTTGCTCCTGCTTCTTTGCATTCTGGTTTATGGTGCATGCTGGGATCAAAACTGTGCAGTAGGTGATTCTGGGTACATGTGGTCAGTGTCCCATAATGCATTCAACTTCTCTCTTCCTGCCTCATCCCTGCTTGAAAGCAATGGCTGTCTTTTTGCACCCTTTTTCCCATGGTTACCCATGCAACCATCCATTTGCTTCCTTTGTCTTCTGGCTTGACTGCCTCGGCTCCTTTATTTTCATGCAGTACTGCTGGGCATCCCTGGCATATCCTTTCTCCTATGTGACTCTTGCAATCTTGGCATAGATAGGTGTGTTTCCTTAGCTGGTTCATAGTTCTGTGAGAACAGATTTCTCTACCCACACAGTAGTAAGGTCCAGGATCGCCTGCATGCTCTATGCTGGTGATCATTTGCGTGCTAGGCATTCATGGTCAGGTTTACTTCTGAGGTGTGCTGCCTTCTCTGAGGTCTGCTTGCCACACTGGCCGCAAAGGAAATGAAATTCAAATTTTCCTGGGGCTTTTCAACTCTGCTGCCTTTTAGGTGCACAGGAAAATCCTGGCCAGAATGGTCACCGTGGGATGCTCTCAGAGGCCAAAAACATCGACTTTCACAGTGCTGTATCTTCATTACCCTGACGTTAACCGCACAAGGTCAAATTTAGCGTTGCTCCTTGTGAAAAGCTGGAGTTCCGAAATCTGCTTTAATGATTGATGGAACGGCTTTGATGGTATAGACTCATTGTTTAGAAAATTGACCGAATGCATGGAAGCTCAACCTAAACTCCCAGTGTATACCAGGCCTAAATTTTTCTACTGTGTTGTCTTAAGTGATGCTGAAGTGGCTCTTGAGTATTAGCTTTTTCTTCAAGTGGTTATAAGAGGGGACAAGGCATCAGAACTTCTGGATTCCACTTTTTATTCTGCCATAGACAAACTCTATGACTATAGTAAAGTCATTTTAATCTTTGTGTGAGTTTGTCTGTCAGTAAAACAGGGTTATGACACTGACCAGTGTTTAAGTGTGTTGATATTCTTTCATGAAAGGCACTATGGAAGTATGAAGTATTATTGATTTGCATACTACGACTATTAGGGTACTTCTAGACTAAAAGCCTCTTTCGAAAGAGAGCGTCTAGACTACAAGCAGATTTTTCGAAAAAGTGAGCCACTTTTTCAAGAGTCTAGACGCTCTCTTTCGAAAATGCACATTTTGCATTCAATAGCGCCTTTTTTTGAAAGAGTACTTTTGAAAAAAGGCGTTATTCTTTGTAAAATGAGGTTTACCGTGATTGAAAAAACTGCCGCGTTCTTTTGATTTATTTTTGAAAGAATGTGACCACAGTCTAGACGCAGGTGAAGTTTTTTTTTGAAAAAAGGCTACTTTTTTCAAAAAAAACCCTGTAGTCTAGACACATAGGCGTTTGACTTTCCATATCAAATTGTGCTGAGGAAAGGAGGGTCAAATAGTTTCTTCTTTTTTGAATTTCATCAAGTCTCCTTTCTTTTTACTACAAGTAGCCAGAGGTGCTTGGCCCTGCCATGAGTGGAGGGGACTGGACTTGATGATCTCCCAAGGGCCCTTCCAGTTCTATGATTGTATGAGGGTGTCAGTTCTAGACCACTGGGTTTGTTGAAAATGCTGCTATTTGTTATCAAGCAAATTGTTTTGGCAGTACAGACATTCAGAGACAGGCTTCTCTGTGAATAATTTCTATCTACTGGTTGCATTCTTGGTAAATAAAGTGAAAGGAAAGGAGGGTCAAATAGTTTCTCCTTTTTTGAATTTCATCAAGTCTCCTTTCATTCCTCCATGCTACAGCTGCATTAGCTGAAAGAAGTTACTTAATTTTGACAGTACAGACAAATCAATATTTACATGTGTTAATCAAATGTGGAAGTGACTCCTGAAATCAAAATTGAGCCTCTCTTACCTCCAACCCTCCAAAAATGGGATATGTTTTACTAGCCATTCAGATAACACTGCAAATGTATGCATGTCTTTATAAATATCAAGCGACAGAACTTAAAATATTTAATAATCTTGAATAAGTCATTGCTTCTAAGAAAATCCTTTTCTTTCTGTTAAAGTTTGGGTTAATTTTTGCTGGTGCCCAGAAGAACGCTGGCTGTGCTGGTGTAGTTGTGGTAATAGTGCGCGAGGATTTGCTGGGATTTGCGCTCAAAGAATGCCCTATAGTATTGGACTACAAAGTGCAAGCAGGAAATGGCTCATTATATAACACTCCTCCATGCTACAGGTAACCTATTTCTCTACCAAACTACTAAGCTAGCATATGCTCCTGCTGTCAGAAAAAGTTCCAAAAATTAAACATTCATTTGCTATCAGGTCACAAATAGGCAGGAGTATGAAGTCCAGTAAATCAAATAATTTGTCTTTGAGTGAGGGAACGACTACTGTAAGCCCCAATCCTGTGGCTTTAAATCAGGGTTGAAGGAGGGAATTGAAAGAGGTAATTACTCAGCATGTATATTTTTTTAGATAATGCCATGCAATACTAAGTTTAAGGCCAAATTCTGGGCATACCATAAATTGAAATAAGTCCAGCAAATTCAATGATGATGTCTCAATTGATGCAAGGGATGAATTTGGTCCTCAGTCTTCAACCTCAACCAGTCTGTCCAGATTTATATATCATCAGCAGATAAACTTAAGGCCCAGATCATCCACATGGGAAGAAACCTACATAGGGAATTGATAACTCCCTGAAGTAAGTTGTATGGAGTTTCCCACAAAACCTTCCCTCAAAGACCAGGGTTTACTCTGCTTTCCCTCCACCTGCCAAAGCCGCCAGCATCTAAGACCTTAGACCATGCAGATTCCCAGCAGCAAACTGAAATCCAGAGCCATCTACACACAGACGTTTTGTCTTCATAGCACATCCAGGGTCCCCTTTCTCTGCCCATGGAATACCTCAAGCAATTAAACCCATGGAGGGGACAATGCATATCCCACCTCTAGATTGCATGTCCATCCCTTCCTAAACCCCCTTCTTCCCTTGTCTGGATGATGGGTGGGGAAAGAAGGTTAGCTATAGTGGAGGATCCCTTCAGCAAACACAGCTTTATGCCCAAAATATCCAAGCTACAAACTTCCTTTCAAAGTGCATCTTGCACATCTGAATCCCTCTATCTTCGTTGCTGGAAAATGACAATGGCAGAGACTTATTCTTTTAAATGATCTTTTTTCTAAACCATTATCTATTGCAACATCATTTACTACAATAGATTCAAAGGTGAGACAGAAGTCAAGAGTGTGAAACCTGGCGTCTAGGTGATTTTTATTTATCAGGCATCTGAGCATTTCATATTAAATTTGCACAGATTACCACTTCGAGATCAACCTGGCATCTAAAAATAAAACTGTTGGTTCTGCTTTATAATCCTCACCAGCAATTGGGATCATAGTCAGAATGTGTCTGGCAATTTTATGTATATATGAAGCACAGCAGAGTACCGTTTGCTCTGCGTAGTGACACTATACTGCTAAGATTAGAGAAAACAGCCTTGCTAATGGAAGATTACAAAAGAAGGGAGGAGTGGGCCTACGTGTGTGTGTGTGTGTATATATATATATATATATAAAACCTTACATTGATGTCAGTGGGATTGGAAGCATTTCCTGTACAGTTGTGCAATAAAAAGGTGATTTAAAAAAATACAGCCATTGGTCTAATTCAAAACTCACTTGTTAGTTTTTTTAAAGCCTTTTTTACCCTTTTTGCTCAGTTCAGCTGCTTCCGCTGTTACCTTGTGACTCATTTTTTGCTGAAGCTCACTCACTAGGCTCTTGCCATTGTGATGCCGGACTATTGGAATTTTACTGTATATACTAAGTTACCAGTGATGTGGGAACTATAACTTTGAATTTCCTGAATTTTGCAGGCATTAAATGAGAATTACAGTACTGATATGAAATAGGACTTATTATATTAATTAATGGATGACTAAATCTAGACATACTAATTTCAGACTTTGTGGGTCTGGAGCTGTGTACTCCAAAGTGCACTATACCCTGTAGAGCAGGGATGGGCAAAATGTATCCAGCCACCCCAAACCACTGGATCTGGTCTGCCACTGTCCTGCAGCCCAGTAGAAATCTCCCTGCCTTCTGTGCCCCCACATGCCACTCAATGTATCTGGATTTGTGGGGCATGTGCTCTTTGCGTAAAGTGGGGGTACTGAAAGCCACTGAATCAAACTGTAAATCGTGTATAATGGAAACCATTTCAAGTCTGGGGCTGCTGCAGCACCCCTACTCCTGAAGTTGCAGCACGTGTGTGTGTGTGTGTGTGTGTGTGTGTGTGTGTGTGTGTTTGAGCTTTGCATGCTGCCCTCACACTCAGCACAATCTTGCAGCTCTCATTGTGCTTGTGGTGCAGGCATCCCACAAAGTATGCTCCCCGTCCCACCCAGGGCGTGCGGCGCAGAGAGCACATGTCCCCTGAAGCTGGCTGCTTGTTGCTGGAAAATGACAATGGCAGAGACTTATTCTTTTAAATGATCTTTTTTCTAAACCATTATCTATTGCAACATCATTTACTACAATAGATTCAAAGGTGAGACAGAAGTCAAGAGTGTGAAACCTGGCGTCTAGGTGATTTTTATTTATCAGGCATCTGAGCATTTCATATTAAATTTGCACAGATTACCACTTCGAGATCAACCTGGCATCTAAAAATAAAACTGTTGGTTCTGCTTTATAATCCTCACCAGCAATTGGGATCATAGTCAGAATGTGTCTGGCAATTTTATGTATATATGAAGCACAGCAGAGTACCGTTTGCTCTGCGTAGTGACACTATACTGCTAAGATTAGAGAAAACAGCCTTGCTAATGGAAGATTACAAAAGAAGGGAGGAGTGGGCCTACGTGTGTGTGTGTGTGTATATATATATATATATATAAAACCTTACATTGATGTCAGTGGGATTGGAAGCATTTCCTGTACAGTTGTGCAATAAAAAGGTGATTTAAAAAAATACAGCCATTGGTCTAATTCAAAACTCACTTGTTAGTTTTTTTAAAGCCTTTTTTACCCTTTTTGCTCAGTTCAGCTGCTTCCGCTGTTACCTTGTGACTCATTTTTTGCTGAAGCTCACTCACTAGGCTCTTGCCATTGTGATGCCGGACTATTGGAATTTTACTGTATATACTAAGTTACCAGTGATGTGGGAACTATAACTTTGAATTTCCTGAATTTTGCAGGCATTAAATGAGAATTACAGTACTGATATGAAATAGGACTTATTATATTAATTAATGGATGACTAAATCTAGACATACTAATTTCAGACTTTGTGGGTCTGGAGCTGTGTACTCCAAAGTGCACTATACCCTGTAGAGCAGGGATGGGCAAAATGTATCCAGCCACCCCAAACCACTGGATCTGGTCTGCCACTGTCCTGCAGCCCAGTAGAAATCTCCCTGCCTTCTGTGCCCCCACATGCCACTCAATGTATCTGGATTTGTGGGGCATGTGCTCTTTGCGTAAAGTGGGGGTACTGAAAGCCACTGAATCAAACTGTAAATCGTGTATAATGGAAACCATTTCAAGTCTGGGGCTGCTGCAGCACCCCTACTCCTGAAGTTGCAGCACGTGTGTGTGTGTGTTTGAGCTTTGCATGCTGCCCTCACACTCAGCACAATCTTGCAGCTCTCATTGTGCTTGTGGTGCAGGCATCCCACAAAGTATGCTCCCCGTCCCACCCAGGGCGTGCGGCGCAGAGAGCACATGTCCCCTGAAGCTGGCTGCTTTGAGGGTTCCACTGGGCTGCTGGCTGGCAGCCACCCAGGTTAGCACCTCCTGTCCAGAGCCTGTATCTGGCACATTGGCCTCTCCTTCCCCCACCCCAACCCTCTGCTCCTGCCCTCCTGCACCGCCGTTCCAGGTCACAGCCCAAACCCTCAGCACCCTAACCCCCCTCCTTTTCCCCCAAACTCCCTCCTAGATCCCCTTGACCACTTACAAAGTTCTTGGAGTGCTGTTCCCTCCCCCCACCCCCTTCCCTCCATCAAAAATTATTGCCTATCTCTGCTATAGAGTGTGCACATTTGGAATGGGTGGCATTGGGTCCCAAAGACTGGCCCTTCTGCTGGGTCCCTTGTGAAGTCATCTTTAAAAGTTGGACAGATTGTTCAGCAGAGGAGGGAGGGTTGACCTTGTTGATATAAAGGGCTTTGTACATCTCTCTACATATTTGCTCTCCCTGTTTCCTTAACTATGTAGCTAAGTGTTGTGCATGCTTAGTAGGCTGTTTTTACTAAGTACCCACTTATTTTCCTGCTTGCCAAATTACATATTCTGCTTTGAATACTAAGTATTTGGACATGCTAAACTTTAAATCCAGACCATTCCTGGGGGGTTTTTCACATGCAAAAGTGTTTTCATTTGAAAAACAACAACCCATCATGCCTTGGAACTTAAACGGTGTTGATTCCACATTTGAGATGCAAACAAAAATTCATTTCTGGGCTGAAAAGAATACTGAAAAATTTCAGTTGGTGATAATTGCATACAATGTTATAGTTGAAAAGTTACTTCCTGAATGTCTGTTAATAGCATCAAGTGGAGCTCCCCCATCCATAGGATGAAGCAAGGTAACTGCCCTGGGCCGTGTGCTTCAGAGGCATGTTGGGAGGGGAGCTGGTTCTGGCAGCAGGAGTTGGTCCTGCTCCTCTGCTTTTGTTTTTGTCTGCAGGCTCCCCCTCACTTTCTTCTTTCCCCTCCCCTCCAAGCTCTAGCTGTTTTGCAATTTTCTGCTCTTCCCTCTGCTAGAATTGCCTGCTGGCTGCTGCAGGGTCCTAGTTCTCCACCTCACTAGTGCCATTCCAGCAGCCTGACCTGGCCTACCCCTGCCCTTCCAGACCTCTGCCTTGGAGGGATGGACCCTTGCCTTTTCCAACAGGAAAGCACAGGTGAGTGCCAGCAGCCAGTCTTCATCAGGGCCCCTCGCCCGTAGTCCAAATCTTGTGTCCCCTAGTGTGCTACACCTCCCACTTTATCTACCCTTTCTTCTCTCTCCCAGCAGGGCTGTGTGTGTGAGAAAGGTGGGTTCTTGCCACCAGGCTCCAGGCCAGAGGGCCAGCCCTTATCATCCTCCCGCCTCATGGTCCTCATCTTTTCAGCTTTCAAGCAGCAGTCTCAAGCCTTGGGGTTTCCCTCCCCAGAGTACTAGGATTTAGTGACTGACAATTCTACCACCACCCACCAGGGCTAGCGAGTTACAGAAAAACAGCAGAGGGTTTCCACTAACTCCCACTTATTTTATGGCTTTAAAACTCAACCTTTCTATGTCCTCTAACTGCTTACCCTGATTGCTTGGAAATCTGTCTCCTGGGGATGCAGAATAGCCCTACTGATCCACATTTGGGGTCATTTGACCAAGTGCTTCTTGAGTTACAGGATGCTCCCCCAACTTCTGCTAAACTGAAAGTGACATTCTAAGGATTTCTGGATGTTCTCAGACAAACTTCATTGAGAAAAATGGAGTGAACTCATCCCACCATCAGTAAACTAAGGATAAGTAAATCACAACCTTGTTAGACAAAAGGAGTTTAGCAATAGATGCCTGTAGGGTGCTGCAATTTGTGATTCATGGGTGATGGCATTTTGATTTTGAAGAGAATGTAATCTGTCTTGGGGAAGGGAGATTTTGGCATGTGAATGCTTCGTGGGCAGGGACCAGTATTAGGAATCGGAGGAATGGAGAAATTGGAGGAAGAGTGGTGTGGGCAGAGGGGATTTGTTGTGGGGATGGATGTTAGGGGAGGAGAAATTTGGGAGTTCAAGTGAGGAATACATTGTACCACCTGTGTTCCATGTAAGGTGAGTGCTTGGGTGGCCACCCAAGAGAAATTCCAGTATCACCCATCTGATTAGCACTGCACCTAGCGCTGGCAGCAGGTGTTTCTGCTGGTGGTGCACATGTCTCAGTGCACATAACAAAATTCACTCTGCACATGTATGGAAAAAACTAGAGGGAACACTAAGCACCACCCAGCTCTTCCACTGCATCTCTGACCCTCTGCACTTCTCATGTCTGCATGCTCTTGCTTTTCTAGACTCCCAGTGCACCCTAGCTCTGCACTCCAACACCCCTACACACCTAGCTAGCATACAATGACTGTCACTAGCAGGCACAGAGACAAATGGACAAAATCTAACTTTGGGTTAGGAGAATTCTTCCCTGAGGGAACAAGTACTGCACTTCAAGCCCTTCAGTTTCTTAAATCACTTGCCTTCCCAAACATAGCATTAGCAGACAGGATTTTGCTGACAATCCCAGTCACGGTGGCTTCTGGAGAGCGAAGTTTTTCCAAACTAAAAACTGCATATGGCCAACTACCTCTCGAGAAGCTGGGTGGACTTTCCATCGGGACGAAAGATGCATCCAACCAGGATCTGATAGCAGAATTTGCTTCAAGGAAGTCCATGAAGATAGATTTTAAAATACTGTATAAGCAGTATAACACTGATCATGATCAGTGAGGTTTTTTAATTATATGAACTTCATTACGATTATAAAAAGAACTACAAACATAATTATACAGCTGGGTGTTATCAATATTTAATCTGCAATATTTAATGTTAAGGGGGAGTGTCTCCATATAGGTGACTTGCCCCTTGCTCCGTTAGGGATGGCTCTACTTCCCACCTGGTACTTGGCCAACTTTTACTTCATGCCGATGACCCACATTGGAGGATGTTCCAGGATTCAAGGTTTAATACTGACCTAAATTTTGGCAGGATACAGATCTGTTTGGCTTGGTTTTAAAATGCCTTTTTTTGTAAGAAAACAGCAAAGCTTCTTTCCTTTCCTTCTGCCTCACCCTATTCTGTTCCAGAGTTAGCTGGCAAATAGGCAGGAAATACTAACCAAATTTGCATGAGCTACTTAGCAGAACATTGAATTAAATTAATGTAATGCTGATACTCTTAACCTCTTGGCACTAAGAGTCCTGACTTTCTGACACTAAGCTCCTCTGCTAAAATTAATAGCAAATTTGCTGGAGAAATCTTATTTTTCAGTTCCAAGGATTTATTTTCTATTTAAAGCCTCTCCAGAACCATATTTTTGATTGGCGTGGCAGAAGGATATGGAATTTTATTTCACTGACAGGTTTAAGAGCATCACTTAGAGCTTAGACCTCCAAACCTTACTTGCCTAAGTAGTCCCACAGACTTGGCTAAGTGTGGGCTATTTGTAAAATGTATCCTATGCAATCAGCCAGTGCAAAGACTATGTACCACTTAAACCTTCAAAAGCATGTTTTTGATGCATAGAACTCTGCATAGGGATAAATGACACTCTGCTGCCTTGAAGATTGCAGGCGCGGGCCCATAAAGCTGTTCTGTTAATTTATAACAGGGAGTCCATAAGCTCACTCCTTTCATGATGTGTTTCGGAAACGTTTAAAGATTTAGTATCCAAGGAGAAATTAAAGGTAGGGATGTTAAAACAACCTCCTCCTAGATCCCTATGAGAGAGATTTGAAGGGTAATGTTGTCTAAGCACTCCCTTGGAAACTGTAATGGGAGGATTAATAAAACCAAACCTGTTGGAAATGTGCCATAAAAACTTGTGAACAGTTTATGTAAAATGGTGAAGCGGTGGGAAATGCCTGACTTGAACAAGCAGAGTTTTGTAGCCAAAGCACAAAAGCAAAAGGCTTTGTGGGGGTTTTATGTAATACTGGGTAGCTGGCTTTGAAACAGCTGATCTGTAGCTGTGTGAAATTAACAGGCTCTGTGCTTAGGGTTTGAATTGGCATTAATGATTATAAAATATTTGTTACCAGGAGGATAATTGTTTAATGTGAAAAATAACTTTTTAGATGACAGTGAGGTCATGGACATTTGTTTAATGGTCATAAATATAAGACTAGATTTCTGGTATTAAGCAGGAAGGTACAATGCAAGAGCATCCACAAAGCTTTGTCAGTGTAGTGGCATGGGTCTAGAACACATTTGCTGGTCCAGTTCTGGAACTCCCTGAGACTTCTAGTAAAATTGCTTGTTGCAGTTCTGCAGTCCTTAGAGGCAAAATGTCTAAATGTGGGAGTCAGGGCCGCTGATCAGGAGGGACGGGGAAAGAGGGCAGTTGCCATCACACTTATGTCACTTATGAAGTTAAAAGCTACTTTAGTTTGGCACAAACATTTTACCTGTTTTAAAATTGCCATTATTGGAAATGTCCAGATGCCAAATGTTGTGAGCTATTAAAAACAATAATATATCTCCATTTAATTGTTGAGACATTTTTCTGAATGAAACCTGATTACTTTTTCCATTTTCGGAATATTATGACTTCATAATGTTTTCTTTTGTTTATTCAGTATCTATATCATGAGCTTAGTCCTGGAATGGATAAAGAACAATGGTGGGGCTGCAGCTATGGATAAACTGAGTTCAATCAAATCACACATGATTTATGACATTATTGACAGTTCCAGTGGATTCTATGTGTAAGTTGCAATGACTTATTGTCTTCATTTTTAATACTTGTTATATTGTGTTCACATTTTACAAATTTCAAAACCAGTGAAACTAAAACATTGCCAAATGATAAAATCATGGGCAGTGGGAGGAGAGCTAACTGATGCAAACATTACCATAAACTCCTCTTCTCTGGTGAATATTCAAGGACAAATCTGAATCTGTTGCATTGAGATGGGAAGCAATATCTTAGCCTGTACAGCTCAATATGAGTCAACAGTGTGACACTGTTGCAAACCTCATTCTGGGATGTATTAACAGGAGTCTTGTAAGCAAGACATAAGTAATTCTTTTACTCTACACTGATTAGGCCTGATCGGAGTATTGTGTCAAATTCTGGGCACCACATTTCAGGAAAGATGTGGACAAATTAAAGAAGGTCCAGAGAGGAGCAACAAAAGTGATTTAAAGGTCTAGAAAACATGAGTTGCGAGGAAAGATTGAAAGAACTGGGTTTGTTTAGTTTGGAAAAGAGAAGACCGAGAGGAGACATAACAGCTTTCAAGTATCTAAAAGGTTGTTACAAGGAGGAGGGAGAAAGGTCATTCTCCTTTACCTCTGATGATAGGGCAAGAAGCAGTGGGCTTAAATTGCAGCAAGGGAGGTTTAGGTTAGACATTAGGAAAACCTTACTGTCAGGATGTGTAAGAACAGGAATAAATAGCCTAGGGAGATTGTGGAATCTCCACCATTAGAGATATTTAAGAGCAGGTTAGATGAACACCTGTCTAGGATGGTTTAGATTGGGGTGAGCAATAATTTTTGGTGGGGGCCATTCCAAGATTTTGGAAAGTGGTCAAGGGCTGCACTTTCCTGTGGAGGAGATGTGGGGTCTAGGATGGAGGTTGGGTGCAGAAAGGTGCATGGGGTAAGGGACTGGGATGTAGGAGATGGTGTGAGGTCTGAGAGAGAATTTGGGTGAAGGAGGGGGTTGTGACCTGGGTCCGGGTATTGTAGTATAGGTTAAGGGAGGGTGTATGGATGCAGGAGAGGATTCTGTCCTGGGGAGGAGTGTAAGAAGGGGTACAGGGTCTGGGAGGAAGTTGTGACCTGGGGAAAGGGGGTACAGAGGGTTTGGATGGTGACCTGGAGGAGGGAATTGGGTGCAGGGGGGGCTGGGGTGCCAGAGGCAGGCTCTGGCTGGGAGGCACTTACCTAAGTGTCTCCTGATGTTTGGATGGTTACCTACAGGAGGGAGATGGGGCGCAGGGGGGGCTGGAATGCCAGAGGCAGGCTCTGACTTGGAGGTGCTTACCTATGTATTTCCCAGCCAGCAGCCCTGCAGCACCCCCAAGACAGGCTGGGCTTCCTGCCTGCTGCAGCCTCAGATCACTTTAAACTGCAAGTTGCTCCTTCCATATAGCTCTCAGCTCCGGGAGGGGGAAGAAGCTTCACTGCTCCTGTCCCCAGGGGTGGCCCGTGGATGTAGGCAACCATGGCAGTTGCCTAGGGCGCCGCGTTTAATGTGGCGCCCAATGATGACATCATGCCATTGAGGGCTGTGGAGGCGGGGGCGCCGATCGCACATTCCGCCTAGGGTACCAGTTGCTGGCAGCTCTCCTCGAGCCACTCCTGCCTGCCCCCCAAGCCAATCTTTCAGTTCCCATTGGCTAGTTTTGTCCATCCAATAAGAGCTGAAGATTGGGCTGAGGTCAGGGAGCTCACACGAAGATTCCCTCTGCCTACAGAGAAAAGAGCTGCATGGACTGCACTTTAAACTGCAGCAGCTGTGTGCCTGAGGGTCCCAGCAGGGCTATTCACAGTCCAGAACTGGTGGCTTGGTGGGCCATCTCTGGCCTCTGGACCATATTTTTCCCAGCCTTGGTTTAGATGGTGCTCAGTCCTGCCATGATTGCAGGGGACTGGATTTGATTACCCCTGGAGGTTCTTTCCAGTTCTAGGATTCATGGGCTGACCCACAAGTCCCGTGAAGGCCTCTTTCATTGTTGCACCTGAAGTGTCAGCAATAGATGTGATACATGCAGCCCAATGAGATAATTATAGTCAGTAAATTACAGCCCTACATATGATATATTACATTAACATTCTTGCATAAAGCATATCTGAGTTAAGACATTCATATCATAAACATATTTTCATAAAGCATATGGACCAAATAAAATCAAGGTAAAAGACTGAAGTGCCGCGTGGAGCCTGGGGCCAGTGGGGACTCCTGTACATTTCAAAGGTGGAACTCCTGTACATTTCAAAGGTTGCTGTGCCTCTGCCCCCTGTCACGGAACTGGAGCTTGGGGGAGCTGGCTTTTAAGCTAGCATCCCCCAGAGACAGCAAGCGGGGGAGGGGAAGAGGAAGTGACTAGTCTGACTAGTGTGTTATAGGGATGTAATCGTGTAGTCAATTAACCAATAAGCAAAAGCTTATAGGTTAATGCTATAACTACATGCCAGGACATTTTTTAGCAGGCTGCCCAGCAGCTTGCCTCAGTCCTGGCTTGTGCCAGGTCTGAGACCCACCCCTGCTGCAGCTCTGCATTTAAGTAGTTCCAGCTCACACTGGGTCTGGGAGCTCAGACTTCCTCCCACCCTACCCTGGGACAGGGGCTGCTGCCATTCCACATTGCTGCCTCTCTATCAGAGGCACAAAGGGAGCTAGTTTTTAAACTGGCTCTCTTCATGGACTAGCTCCGCCTGGCACCCCACGCTGCTGCCTCTGTATCATGGAGTGGCAGGGGGCTCCTCAAGAGTGGGGCCTGAGCACACTGGTTGCTGGCTCCACTTCCAGGCATTATAGAATAGTCAACTAACTCATAAGAATTCATGAGGTTAATCGACTATTCTATTAACCGATATTTAACATCCCTAGTGTGTTGACTATCCAATAAGCTTTTGCTTATCGGATAGATAACTAGTGATTAGTTGCTTACAGCCCTAGTAGACAGGATGCAGGGGAACTGCTCCAGCCCCCACCGGTTTACCGGTCAACAATTCACATCCCTAGTGTAGATGAGGGAGAAGTTTGACCATGGTTAACTACAGTGTTTTAGCTTACCTCAGCCTAGCCCTTAAGTATGTTTTCTAGCCACCCACTTACAGTCTGACTCCATTTGTCTCACATCAAGTCACTGGACACACAACTACACTTTTCCCAGTTATGTTGCACTTGGTTGATTTGACCTGTGACTCCCCGTGTTAAACAATATCGCTCCTCTACACGACTATTGTAGGTATTCTATAGTCAGAATAGATGAGTGATCAGGAGAAATCCAAGCCTACCACCGCATATAGATCTCTTCAATTACCCAAGAGCGCGCTTGTTATTAAGGCACCCATTGCGGGCTGACTTGCTCTACTCAGATTTCTCTGTGATGTTGATGTGTCATAGAGGATGGTCTGCAGCCGATGTCAAACTCTTCTACTTAAAGTGACCATACATGTACCTAGCTTTGACTTTTTCCATGCTACTTGTGGGCCCTTCTGAATAGATTTTGAATGGGTCGGGGTCAATGTACAGTCAACACACCTTGGCCAATGAATGAATCTCACCTGTAACTGTGACCAAAGACAGGCAATGTCACATCACTGACAGCTGCCCTCTTACCAGATTTGATGATGGCCTAAGGGCTCCGCACTCTGCTGGAGAGGCTGCTGCAAATGGGCTTGAGAAATACTACACTGAAGAAGAGGAGTGGAGAATACAACAGAATATTTAATAATACTAAGGTGCTACAGGACCATTGTTTTTATTTTATTTTATTTACAGACTAACACCCCTCTGGTGTATTTCTAAAATCATCATTCAAGTCATCCATGGCTGAAATGACAGGGCAGACTGACTTGCTTGGCTAAACACATGTGATTATTCAGGCAAATACATCCATGGTAACTTCAATAGAAGGTTTTAAAAAGCACCTAGATGGAGGACAAAATGTAATAATTATATTTTTGCAAATGTTTCAGATGCCCTGTGGAGAAAAAGAGCCGAAGCAGAATGAACATTCCATTCCGCATTGGCAATGTTAATGGTGACGAAGCTTTGGAAAAGAAATTCCTTGATAAAGCTGTGGAATTGAATATGATTTCTCTGAAAGGACATCGGTAAGTACAGTCCTTGGATGAACTCATTTATTATAACCTGTTTAGGGTTACAGTGCAAAATAAGACAAAATGGTTGCCATTCTCCCCCAGTATAATATATATATAGCAGCACTGTCATCTGAGTGAGAGCATTGGGACAGGAAGTCCTGAGGGTGTAATAAGTAAACTTTATTTTGATTTGATATTTTGATATTTGAAAAAAAAAAAAGACAAGAAAAAGAGAGACAGGAAAAATGCTCCAATGTAAGCTGACATATATATAAAAACCCAGCTCTTTATAAATACATTTTCTTGAAAAATTTAGTAGTAATTGAATTGCGCTCCCCATTGTCAACTCTTTCTGGCCAAGCAAACGTTTTCATAGGTAGGGATTCCTTGGGATATGAAAAATTATTTTAGAGGTTCCTCCATGGGAAAAGGGTTGTGAATCACTGTACTAGAACAAAGGAGGACATATAAGTAGTTAAAATAGATGCTCGGTTCCCATTGACAACAAAGAAAGTTTTGTGAATATATCAAAAGGCAGAATGTCCCCTCCTGTTACCATGAATATGAATTATTACCATATACTGAGGGAAAGATAGCTGTGTGTAGTCAATGGTAAGGATATCTTTGTTGCTATGTACAACAATAACAATTTTTTGTTCTCATTCAGATCTGTGGGAGGAATCCGTGCTTCTTTGTATAATGCTGTGACAATAGAAGATGTTCAGAAGCTTGCAGCGTTCATGAGAAGTTTCATGCAGATGCATCAGTCATGAATGTTCGTGAATTAGCGCAATGCTGCACATCTCTGAAATGAAACTTAAAAAATTTGACAGTTATTATGATGCTGCATAAAATGCACAATTTTAGCAAATGAGTTTAGTTTAGTTTATATATCTATTGTTGGTAACTAAATGAGGATGAAGGGTCTAATCCTACAGTTGCTTGAGCATCCTCAGCTTCTATTTAAATTGATGGCACTCTGTACCTGACAGGATTGGTCCTTAAATTTGCAAAGCAGTTAACTTGATTTGCAAATTAACAATGGTTAGTATTGTAATATAATGTAGTTCAGATTCTGATGTTTGTTACACTGCTGCAAATCCATGGAAATCAATGTGTTACTATGGGCTTACACAGGCGTAATTGTGATTATAAGCTATCCCACTTGTATAGAGAAAAATCTTGTCATGTTTTGTTACCCTGATTTTTACAGTTACAAATAATTTTTTAAATGAATTCCTTGTTCTCACTAAATTTCAGTAGTGCTTGGTACCATGTGCTTCTATAAGAAGAACTTCAAAACTACTACGAATGTGCAGATGAGGCTAGAACTGATGGCAATTTGAGAGTACTTGGTTGGTATGTCAAATACATTCCAAGAATGCATCTCTATAGTCTCTAGGGAAACTGATGTCTGCATTTCCTGACTTCAGACCTTCCTTTTGATCGTTACTCACCAGTATGATGCTCACTGCCCTGAGGAGTCCCACTGACTTAAATGTAGTAGTAAGGATTACTGTAGTAAATGTTCATATGGTTAAGGCCTTTTATTTGTGTTGTCATGTATAGATGTACCACAATGTACATGTAGTGAAATCAATGTGTAAGATGTTTGTTTCTGCATGCGTTTTGTATTTGAAACCAGTGTAGGGTATTAATTTTGAATTTGTGTGTTTTTTTCCCCTCCCCACAAAAACTACCCTAATTTTAATTCAACCTCCTGTTAAACTGGACTCTCGATGAAATATCTGGTTACAGCAACCTTCTCCTTGCTGACTACCCCCAATCCCATCTTGCTCACTAGAAGTTCAGATCATAGCAGCTAAAATAGTTTCTCTTGCCTGCTGTTCGGATCATATCTCGTCCTTTTCTTAGTTGCTTCGTTAGCTTCCTTCATCTTCTGCATCACTTCTGCTGTCTCATCTTCCATGTGGGGTTCTGAATAGATTCAACTGGTGCACACTTTTGCTGCCCTCTTGCTTCCTTCATACTGCCAGGGAAAACTCCATTCCACCCCACCAAGCCCTTCATACTATTCCCACACTCCACATGCCTTATTCTTTGCTTTCATGGGCACCTAAAACTCTCTTTCTAACCCAGGTTTCAGGATCTTCTTTCCACACACAACTTTTCTTGAAACTCCTTTCTTCTGTATCAGAGGGGGTAGCCGTGTTAGTCTGAATCTGCAAAAGTGGTGAGGAGTCCTGTGGCACCTTATAGACTAACTGAAGTGTTAGAGCATAAGCTTTCATGGGCAAAGACCCACTTCGTCACATGCATCTTTTCACATGCATCTTGTTTAGACTGTGGTCTCATTGGGGGTGGGAAAATGTCTTTAGCTTTTATATAGTGCCAAGAGTAGTGTTGAAGCTTAAGGCTTTGCTTACACTAGGAAGGTTTGGCAGCAAAAGTGCTGTTGACATGCTAAAGTTGCCAAAAGTGAAAGAAACCCACTTCATCACATGCATCTTTTCACATGCATCTTGTTTAGACTGTGGTCTCATTGGGGGTGGGAAAATGTCTTTAGCTTTTATATAGTGCCAAGAATAGTGTTGAAGCTTAAGGCTTTGCTTGCACTAGGAAGGTTTGGCAACAAAAGTGCTGTTGACATGCTAAAGTTGCCAAAAGTGAAAGAAAACCAATCAAACCAGTTTTTCTTCTCCCAATGTTGATATTTCATGGCTACATTGGTAGCACTCTGTTGATAGAACAAAGCAATGTGGGTAAATAGCCCACAGTGTAGTGCTGTGGGAAGGCAGATCTAATCCTTGTGCTTCTTGGGATTCCCTTGTAGCATTCTGTGCTAAGGAATGTCAAAAAAGCACAGCTGTCTCTCCAGCCCTCCCTCTGTAGCAGCAGAACTGATTATTTTCTTTTTGTTCCCTAAATAGAACAGCTCACTCAGTTGTCAGATACATCCTGGAGCTTTGAAAGGGGATGGGTGCATGCCATCAGGGCAGCAGAGATCAAAAAACATTGAGCACAACCACCAGGGCAGGCATTGTAGGATACTGTCGGAAGTCAATTTCCGCAACAAAACAAACAGCAGAGTCCACAATGGCTCTTTGTCGTCAATAAAGGGAGGAGGAAACACAAAAGTCTCTTGCAGGGGTGGCCAAAACTGGGTGTCTTTCCTGAAAAAAGCTGCATTGCAGTGTAAATGCCTTCATTTTTTTGTCCCCAAAAGGCAGTTTTTGGTGACAAAATGTGCCAGTGTAGAGAAGCCCTTAATAATCACAGTGATGAACCACTTCACTCCTATGTAATTTCACTGAACTCAGTGAAGTTACATCAATGATTAATTAGATTTTGATTAAGAGGTAATGATTTTATAACCGCTGTTTTAAGAACTGATTTACGTTGCCAACTTACTGGTTTAATTTGTGGAGAAAATAAAGATAACATTGAGCGAACAACGTGTTTGTTTTCTTTTGAGATCTTTTGAGCTATTTTTTCTTCTTCGTGTGGGAATAAGAAGTAAATACCTTTTTAAAGCATTTCATTCCCAGTCCTGCTTATAGAGTAGTTTGAATCTTTCCATTCAGATTGGCATTTGCCATTGAAAGGAGCATTTGCCATGACACTCACCAAATTCAATTTCAGGCTTCCTTTTCCAAATGTCCCAGCATCATTTTCACTCTCATGCAAACTTCTTTCAATAAGAATACACTTTCCATCCCTCCCCAGTTCAGCCGCCCTTTTCTGCTAGGACTGACTTCCTTCCTGTGTCATAAAATAAACTAGTGTTGTAGGCAGCCTATCTCGGTGGGGTGTGTGTTGATGGGCTTGTTCACCACTGACTCCCTTTAGCTAGCAGCTCCTCCAGATTCATTCAGTACTTACTATTGTCTAGGACTCTGGATTTGCAGACAACAAAACAAGTGGGAGGCAGTCATGGTGTTAAAGGCAGTCAAGTGAAAGATTTTTTGATTGTGAGGGGTGATGGGAAGGCAGTTGGCTAAGAGGCAGTTAGTAGGGATAGAATACCGGTGAAAGGATCGATGGATTAGACACCATTTGCTGTTATTTGTAGTCACCTGGAACATAAAAGATGGGGTTTGTTTGTTCTTTAAAATGATACTCTTAGGTGGTATGGATGGCAGGGATAATTTAACAGTAGCTGGAAAGTTGTGATGGTCAGAGGTAGAAGTTATCTCAATCCTGCTTTCAGTGTATGTGGTTTTAAGAAGGGGCATGTGGAAACTCTGACAATTCCCCTTCCACATATCACTTACTACAAACCAGCATTTTCACCACTGAAATGTTACTTCAGTAAGCTGCAGCTTTCTGAGGCAGAGACTGACACAGAGCATTCTTGGCTGTTGGGAAAGGAAACAAGGGCTCCATTGATTCTGAGCCTGCAATGTATGGCTAAGGAAGTCTAGGAATTGTTCTGAACTATCTGTGAAGGATCCTTCAGGGCAAGAGCACTATTTCAGGAAGGCAGGCTGTGTGTGTAGTAGCCATGTGTACCGAGACACTGCTTGCTTTTCTTCCTCTTCCCCAGCTCATTAGGGAGTGAGGGGAAACTATACAGATTTTGTGAATTATTCCTCCCCTCACCAGCCAGGGGTGAGAGGCATGCACACAAGTCGCATACTTTCTTGCAGTCTGATGGGGAATGGGAAGAAAAGCAAGCCACATCCCAGATCACGTAGCTGCTGCCCCCCGAGCCCTCCCAAAACGGTGTCCTTGCTTCAGGGTCCTCCTCCTTTCTGAGGTTCTCCCTCAATGTGGTTATTTTTGGTGAATCTTTTATTTGTTAGATGCTGTGCAGGAAGTTGAAAAGGCTGAGATGGAAAAAAATACTTTGTCTTTTTTTCTCAGTATAAAGTCACAGGTCACTGTTTTTTTGCCATGCGTAGGCATCCAGTTAAGGAGGCTGTACACTAGATGCCCACCCATAGATCACATGGAGAGCACATTGAACAGTTTCAGAAAAGGGCTGTGTGTAGAGGTTTTGTGCCTTGTCCCATGTGTTTAACAAATTGGATGTATGTCTAAAGCCACGGTTTTAAAAATGCAACATCAAATAAAGCACTTTTCTACTTACACAGCATGATTTAGACTAACAAATCTGAGGCCATTAATTTGGGGTCAGCCTGTAGTTTGAAGGCTGTCCATCCTCTTGGCATTGGATTATTTCTGGGCATTGTTGTGGTGTTCTTTCTGAGCTAGATGCAAAGATTAAGTAGCAGTTATGAGCACTATCCAATTTGCACAAGTAGCCCTGTTGAACTCAATGGGGCAATTCACATAGTGAATCATTTAAAGTATCATGTTCGGTGATTCAGCTGAAACTGAATTTTCTTGTTTTTCTGGCTTAAAGATAGATTTTCTTCTAATTTTTCCTTCTCTTCAGATGGTACTTTTTAATTTTTTTTTTAAAGTAATGGGGATCAGTTCTTCAATTTAATATAGCAGACAATCCATTTTATACCCTCTCGCCAATCCTGGAGTAAATGTTA